GCCTCAGTGAGAATGTGTATTCCAACATTCAGACGTTATGAATCTGTCAGGAGGGGCAAACAAACAAGTTGCAGAAGGGTGTGGAGAGTGTTGATGTTGTTCAGATGAAGTAAAAAAACCACCCAGGATGGTACTCTGTATTTTTTATATGTAGTATACTGATATACTGTGAGTTATTTGTGAATGCATGCACGCACAGTAGAAGCGTAAGCCTTCCTGGGCATGGTAAGGCTAGATTCAGAAAGTGATTACCTCTGCAGAGGAGGGAGGGATTAGAAATGGGGAGAGAGATGTCTGGGGCATCAGTGATATCTTTTTTATTTATTAAAAATAAAACTGAGCTGGAGCAAAGATGATTGTGTTGCAGGTTGAACTGTGCAATGGGTACATGAGTGTGAGCTAAATAGTCTCTTTCTTTTTTTTTTTTTTTGTGAAAATTTTTTTAATTTGTCAGAGAGAGCACAAGCAGGGGAAGCGGTAGGCAGAGGGAGAAGCAGACTCCCCGCGGAGCAGGGAGCCCGGTACGGGACTCCATCCTGGGACCCCAGGATCATGACCTGAACTGAAGGCAGACGCTTCACCGACTGAGCCCCCCAGGAGTCCCTGAGTTAGGTAGTTTCTTCGGGTATATGTGACATACTTTATAATGAAGCTTAAACCTACCATAAATTTGTAACATTTTCGTGTTTTTCTTTTTTAAAAATTTTATTTATTTGATAGGGAGACATCGAGAGATGGAACACAAGCATGGGGAGTGGGAGGGGGAAGCAGGCTTCTGACTGAGCAGGGAGCCTGATGCGGGGCTTGATCCCAGGACCCTGGGATCCTGACCTGAGCCGAAGGCAGATGCTTAAGGACTGAGCCACCCAGGTGGCCCCAAATTGTAACATTTTCAAGTGAATTTGCATGTATACATTTAAAGAGAGTGTGTGGAGAGAATACTGGTTTCTTTTGACTTTGGCCTGCTTGGCTGCTGGGAGGGTCTCCCCGGGGCCTCAGCCCGTGGCCGGCCCCTTGGCACAGCAGGTCAGGTGTGTGCAGCCTGGAGCCTGCTGGGCTGGGACAGGTGGGGAGTGTCTGTTTGGCATGTTCCATTTCCAGGGAGCGGTGGCCCCGAAGAGCAGTCACAGGGACCTGGGCCAGGCGGGGTGTGTGTGGAGCAGGGCGACTGCGTACAGAGCCTCTGAACCGAGTGCGAGTGTGGAAGCAAGGGCTCCATTCAGCCGTGGACACCGCCTCTGGGGACAGCGGTTACTTTTGTTTAATTTCGCTGAATGCACAAGGGACACTGTCATACCCACAAAGAAGAGCATGGGACGTTCTGCCAGAAGCAGCCAACATGACGTTGGGAAAAATGATCGTGAGGCAGCAAATGCCAGCGTGAGTGAGAGGGAGGAAGAACAGGCAAGCGGGAGTTCAGAGAGGAGAACAGTTGCTGAGAGGGTTGGGAACTGTGATTTATGAGGGGAGGGGACAAGGTCAACAGCTGCTCGAGAGACTCTCTGCTTCTGACCCAGCGAGGACGTCATCCACTGGGCCCTCTGGCATCCTCTGAAAGGTGGTGCAAGGGGCCTGGGATTACCGACGGCCCCCAAGGCAGGCCCGCAGGTAGGCCGGGGGTTGCCCACATTCTGCTGCAGCCTCAGGGGTCTTCCGGGGCTTCCAGCTTCCCCTCTTGCCTTCCTGGAACCTGGTCTTAAATCAGAACCCGAGGGGACAGGATGGCTCACGGTGGCGTCCGCAGCCCTGGATGACCTCTCGGGAAGTCACCCAGCTTTCTTCCCGTGTTACAGTTTTGGGCGGGACTTTATACCGCAGTGGAAGTGATGCTGAGACCACGGGCATCTGCGAGGGGAAATGCTGTCTTTCTGAGAGGCAGCGGCAGTTTCTGAGGGAAGTGGCCGCTGCTCCCACCCCGCCCTGCGCTCCAGCCCTCACGGCAGCGACCGCTCTGGAAAACCCCGCTGTTCTCCCCGATCTCCCCGACTCTGTACACACCAGTGGGACGGCAGGGAAAGACCTGGTCCCTTTGTTCGCCTTTCTCTTTCCCCAGGAAGCACCTTGGACTGTCCCTTCACGTCAGAGTTCCAGCCAGACCGCACAGTCCCCCAGGGCCACCGGCCGTCCCTGCAACCCCTCTTGGGCCCCCTCAGTTTCCCGCCATCCGCCTCCCTCTGGGGCACTGTCAACCTCCCTCTGCTGTCCGGCTTCTCCCTCCCTCAGTCTGACACCGAGAGCCCTTCTCATTGTCTGGGTCTCCCCAAGCTAAAACCACGGTCCCAGCCGCTGTGCGGGGCCTCCCTCTTTCATTCCCCCAGAGCACCCCCCACCTGCAGTGCTCCCCTCTCCCCCACCGGGCCCGGCCCCGCCCAGGCCCCTCTGTCCCTGCTCCGCTGCTCTTTCCCTGCCGCTCCTGCGTGTTTGTGGGGACACAACCCCCCTTCCAGGTGGCGCCCCATTTCAGGGACGCTGTATTCCCAACCTTGCGCAGCCTTCCCGCTGCCGATTTTGGAAGATTTTCATCAGTCCCGAAAGAAACGCTGTAGCCTGAGCAGTCACTCCCTGTGTCTCCCTGACCCCCGACCGGACCATTCCTCACTTACCTTCTGTCTTCGATTTGCCTCTGTTTCCCCTTCCTGCTCAGCCCACAGAGGCCCTTTGCATCTTGTCCTCACCCCTGCACCCTGATTGCTGACTGGGTCACCCCCACCCCACCCTCCTGCGTCCTGCTGCCCAGGCCCGACGGGTGTTCCCAGCCTCGGCCGCTGCCTCACGGGCTAGCCCTGTGGCTGTGATGCTGCCCTCCCCAGGGCGCTGAGGTACCCCTTGCCCGGCAGCCTCCTCTCCTCACACCTCCCTGCCTCATGCCTCCTCGTACCATATCATGTCTCCTCACACCCTCTCATGCCCCCTCACACCTGCCATCTCTCACCTCCCCACACTCTCTCCTACCCTCACGTCTCATCACACTTCATCCGCCCCCTCACACCTCCCACCTCATATCTCCTCATACCCCCTCACACTTCTCATGCCTTCCCATATCCCGTCACACCTCCTCCTGCCTCTGCATACCTCTCCACACTATCTCGTGCCTCCTCACATCTTCCCATACCCCTCACACCTCCAGAAATCCCCTCACACCTTCTCACACCTTCAGAAATCCTGTCACACCTCCTCACACCTCCTCACACGTCCTCACCCCTCCCTGCAGCTCCCTGCACCACCTCATGCCTCCTTGCACCTCCCCACACCTTTGCACGCCCCCTCACACCTGTCCACATCTCCCCCATCTCCTCAGATCACCTCACACCTCTCTGCCCTCCTCCCACCTCTGGTGTGTGTGTGTCTGCTTGTGAGTTTCTTGAGGTCAGAGACCAGCTCTTCCCCATCTTTAGTTCTCGAGTCCAGATTCTGTGCACCACGTTGCCGACCTGGTGTGCGCTCCGTCAGTCTGAATGCGAGAATGGCACGAGTTTTCGTCCGGCCTCAAGAGTTCCTCAGCTTCTCTCACGGTCTCTGTCTTCGTCCTGTCCGATTTTCTGGGTCTGGTTTTGTACCAAACAGGCAGAGCCCGTGCTGTCAGGAGCACCATAAAGTAGGGACGGGTGATTAATCTTCCTCTGCCTCTCCCTCAGGGGCTGCCTCCAACCAGCCCAGGCCCTGCTGCGGTCAGGGGGAGCCAGTGCAGACCGTAGGAGATGGGCAGTGAGAAAAGGGACCCCCGGCAGGTCAGAGATCAGCACTTAACCAGCGCATTTAGCTCCAGTTCTGGGCATGAATCAACATTCAGTGACGTCTCTTGAAGCACAGATTGGGGTGGGGGTGAGTAGGAGAGTTTGGATTTATTTTCCTGGAGGCTCAATCCGGATATTTATACACCTTAAGTAACGGAGGCGGACACCGTGTTGTAAAAATGTGCATATGTGTGTATTTGTACGTGTGTGGGGGCGTGTGTGCATGTGTGTATACATACATTGCAGTTCAAAAATGCCAGGAATTTAAGTGCAACTTGAAGGACCTTAACATTAAGAACTAACTTAAAGAATAAAGGAGGATTTTCTCAGCTTGAGTACACCCAGCTGCATTAAGACCTAGATGTGTCACGGATGATCGGCCGTGGGTTGAGTTTTACAAATCCTGGTCAGGCTTGTCTTTTGATGTGGTTGCCACTTCGGCTCTTAGTTTCGAGAGCATCAGATGATTTACTGAAGATCAGGTTGTTTCTTTCCCTGGCGACCACTTTCCCTCTCCAGGCAGGGATGAGTTTGAGCTCTGTGGGTGAGGCTCCGGGGCCCCTCAGGGTGGAACGCCTCACCCACGGGCCCTCGAGCTCTGGGGGCTACATGGCTGGTGGCCCTGCGCAAGGGGTGGTGGGGTCTGAGTATTGTTTTAAAGTTACCCTTCTTGTTTATTGTGTTATAATCACCGTGACTTTTACTAAGGCTGTGGTGAACAGTGGCATGGGCAGTGTCTGTCCATGCTTGGTGGCTAGGGCAGTGTTTCCCAAACTCTGTTCCTCGGAATACTCAGAAGACTGTAAGTGGCCAAGTAAGTTCGGAAAACTGCTGCGTGCTACATGTTTTCTCCATGATTTGCAGCAGTCCTTTAAAGACTGGGAAATTCCTGTGGGAATGTGCCTTTTTTTTTTAACCCTTTCCATTATTTTTTTTTAAATATTTTATTTATTTGATAGAGAGAGACAGCGAGAGAAAGAACATGAGCAGGGTGAACGGGAGAGGGAGACGGAGCCTTACCACTGAGTGCGGAGCCCGATGCGGGCCTCCGTCCCAGGATGCTGAAGGCAGACGCTTAATAAATATCTTTACTTTTGGAATTGTGTGGAGAGCTTGAAAAGTCTTTACTTAACAAACACTCTCACAAAGCTGACGTCTCAGTTTCAGAACCCGGGCCCTGGTGGCTGGTGTAAAGGGAACGAGGACTTGCTGGGTTGTCGGTGATGGTATACTGTGTCCCAACTCTGATGTTGTCTGTCATTGCAGGTGATTTTCAAAGCCAAGTCAAAATATTCTCCAGAATTACTCAAATACCGGTAAGTACCCGGGGGGGATTTCTATCCTCATTTGGAAAATATATTTTCGACTATTTAGGACTTGGTTAGGAGCCTGAGGCAGAAATGTAGCTTGTGTCCTTGAGGAGCCAACGCCCTGTGCAGGTGTCCTGAACAATGCTGAAACTCCCAGAACCCGATGAAGCAGGTGAAGTTCGGGGGATTGGGCAGTCTCTGGCCTGGGCTGCTGTGTACTGTGAGAGCCATAGGAGTTTTGTGGAAAGTCAGTCAGTGCTGGGCTGAAAGGGCGGGTTCGTAACCTGGAAGGGAGCGCCTTAAATTACGTGGCAAGTTTACATGAAGAGTTGGATAGGCTTGTTTTTCCTATATAGAACGTTTGTAGGTTTCCCCAAATTTTCAGAGGTCTGTGACCCCAGCACCCCCAAGAGCAAAGAAACCAGTGGCTTAAAGAATGGTCAGACTTGGTCAAAGGGGAAAGGATGCAAGGCATTCAGAAGACCTGGGGCAGGTGTGTGGCGTTCTGATGTCCCTGCTCAGGCGAGCTCCAATGTCATGAGCAGACATTTCTGGGAAAGCAATTTTGGCCACTTACCTTCTTGAATCAAAATGAATATTTAATTATTTTGTGGTTTTAAAAATATGTAAAAATGTGTGCATATTGTATTTTATTTAAATATATAATTTTAAATTTATGAACACTTTTTTTTTAAATTCTGGAAGTGTATTTTTCTCGAGATATAGTTGACATACAACGTTATATTAGTTTCCAGTGTCCCACAGGATGATTTGATATTGGCCTATTGCAAAATGACCACTTCAGTAAGTCTAGTTAACCTCTATTAACGAACATGGTTACAAAATTTGCTGTTTCTTATGATGAGAACTTTTAAGATCATGAAAATGTATATTTTGATCTCCATTTTATATCCAAAGAAACTGAAATTCAGAAAATAATACGACAATACTGGGACTAAAAGAGAAGTCATGAGACTCAGGGTGCCATGTTTGTTTTTCTCACCTAAACTTGAAGTCTTTGTTCACTACTTTTTGGGTAGTTTGGTGCATGTTTCTACTAGACTACTCAGCTGGGACTTGACGGTCCACCATGAAAATATGTTGGTCTGAAGGAGAACCGTTTAAAGGAGCAATTCCAAGTACACAATCCCTTCCCTTCTCTGGTAAGAAAATAGCTGGCCTTTCCTCCACACCCATAATCTAAGCCTCCAGCCTCTTGACTAGAAATATGAATCAACCCAGGGACTGGGGAGCCAAGGATGGGTGAAGACTGGGGAGGAGGAAGAGATTCTGATTGGATCGTGTAGCTGGTCTTATCTTGGAAGTGGTTGGTTGAAGCTGAGGTAATGTGGTGTCTTCTAGAAGTGGAATAGGAAAGCACTGGTCAGAAAGGAAGGCTGATTCAGAAGTTTTCAGCCTCTGAGCCCTTGCGGGGTGGGGTCCACTAGATGTGAGGGTGTGTGTGTGGGGGGTGCAATTCTTGATCCTGGAACCGAAGTGCAGACACCAGGATGGGCTGTTTTCAGTGGGAGGGGGTTTGCAGAGATGGAGAGAGAACACCAGGAGAAATTCAACTGGGTGAGATGTTCGGGCTGGAGAAGACCGAAGAGTTTCTTGAAGCCAGGAGGGTGAGAGTCCGGTGGGAGGAGCCTCTTGACTCCTACATCATAATAAAGAAATGCTCAGATTTATTCGTGTTTATGCCCATCTTCCATCTTCTCTGTTTGATCCCTCACTTCTTTTTCTTTTTAATATTTTATTTTTTGAGAGAGAGACAGCGAGAGAGGGGACATAGGCACTGGGAGTGGGAGAGGGGGAAGCAGGTTCCCCGCAGAGCAGGAAGCCTGATGCGGAACTCGATGATCATGACCCGAGTGGAAGGCAGACGGCCCAGCGACTGAGCCCCCAGGCGCCCCGATTCCCCACTTCTCTTAATCCAGATGCTGCTGCAGACATTTCAGGCCATGATTTATCCCTCGAGGTGCTTTGGTATGTTGGCTTTTGAACAGGCCGGCTTCCCTGACTGAACCACAGCTCACTTGGAAAGAAGCACAAGCCGTCGCTCTAGAAGTGGTGGCAGCTTCTCCCCCCAGCTGCTCCGGTAGCCGCTCCGAGTCTCTGAAGGTGGTTTATACTCAGCCCCGCCAAGAACCGCTTCATTTCCCCTAAGTCCCCTCTCTCCCTGACACACCCGCACACTCAGCTTTGCTGGAGTTGGTGCCCGTGTGATTCAGTTTTTCTCTTTCTCGGGCTCTGCTTGTCAGTCTTTGGCTTAGGAGGCGTGAATATCGCGCGGGGGGTGGGGCTCAGAACACTTTGATTTTCGGCGTTTTTAACTGTTTTCCCTCCATCTTTGAGTAAAAAACGCAACGAACCAGGCTTTGCTTTTCCCATTCTGGAAGGAATCTCAGATCTCAGAAGAGAAGTTTAAACCACGCTTTACAAGCTGCTGACACTCTCCCCTGGCATCGGAGGGAGCAGAGTTCTTGCGCGTGGAGCTCGCGGGCAGCCCACAGGCCAGGCACCGAGGTCCCCAGGCCCTGCGGTCAGCGGCCTCAGCGACTGTCTGCACTTGCAGACCCGCCCGATCCTTGTGGGCTCACAAGCAGAGTCATCCTCCCGGATGCCCGGTCCCACTGATTTCCTTTTCCTTTGGTCTTTTTTCTCATTATAGGCTGTTTATCCTGACCCTGTGTTTGAGCTGAGAAGTAGTCATTCTGGGGCAGGTGGTCAAACACTGTTGCCGTGGAAATGCCCCCTTGCCATAGGATTTGTTCTGCACCACCCCCGCCCCACGCTCTCTCCACACCTCCCGATCTCTCCCTGTCTTCCAGAGCTGCAGGCCCCGGGGGAAGAGTTAAGTTTTGCAAGGTTTTTTTTTTTTTTTTTCATTATGAAAGTTATATAAGCTCATTAGAAAAAAACATAAAATAGAAAAGCATTGGAAGTTTGTGAATAGAGACATGTGGAAAGAAAGAAACCAAATCTAGTGCAGCCCCCGCCCCGCCCTACAGAAACCCCGTCCAACTCTGAGGAGACACAGTAATGTTTTCCATTGTAGGTTTTCGTCTACCTTTCCCAGAACAGAGTTGTTTTGCCACATTTATGATTTTGCTCTCTGACGTTGACCTTAATGTTGGATTATAAGTACTTTGCCCATGTTGTCTCAAGCCTCACAACACAGCTGATTTCTTTGAGACAAAATCAGGCAGTTCAGCTCAGGTCATGATCCCGGGGTCCTGGGATCCAGCTTCATGTCATCATACTCTGTGCTAGGAAGGGAACCTGCTTCTCCCTCTCTCTCTGACCTTCCCCCTGCTTGTGTGCATGAGCACTCCCTCATTCTCTCAAAATAAATAAATAAATAAATAAATAAAATAAAATCTAAAAAAGAAAAAACTAAAAAATACTGGACTGATAGGATTCTGTTTAGCAGGTGGTCCTAGAGGCTCATGGAGTGGGGTAGGCTAGAAAGGGAAGGGCAGAAAGCTCCGCTTGTGTAAAGACAGGGAGATGGGGACACCTGGATGGGCTTATGGCCAGCACACAGGCCAGCTGATTAGGATGGGGGGGTGCCCATTGGTTGACCTGGCTCTGGAGGGGACTGGAGGGTGCCAGAGTGGAGTCGAGGGTGGGGGGGTCAGTCTGGACACCGTCACGTTGGTTTTAGACAGAAGCATGAGGCCATGCAGTCGGTGATGATGGGAAAGGGGGGGCCCACAACGAGGGGAGCAGGAATAAAGAATCTGTTAAACTTGACAGCTGGTTAAACTGGGGTGTAATCCAAGATCTTTATTGTTTAGAAGTACAAAGAAACTGTGGTGCCTTTCGGAGAAATAGGAAAGCCAAGAGGAGTACTGGAATAGGAACTTTGGGAGTTAGGCTTGGACATGGTCTGAGGGGACAGGGCTTCCGGGCTGTTTGGAATGGGAGTGTAAATGTAGGACAGGGCGGTGGCTTTAGAGGAGCAGTAGGAACCTGGGCGTCCGAGGCTGTAACTGAGGCTGCACGAGTAAGTGCGTTTCCCGGGGTGGAGGAGAGCGCCATGGGTGTCGTCACTTTGGGGGAGGAAGAGGAACCAGGGCTGTGCAGGGGCAGGTCAGACGGGAATGGGAGGCAGGCGTAGGGCCATGGAGTGATGGACAACGGGGCTCCGGGAAGGCAGGGAGAGACGGCGACCGAGAGCTGACCCCTTTTGGTTTGGGAGTAGGTCATGGGGACCTGGGAGAGTGTGGGGTCTGCAGGGGACGACCTGGGAGGAAAGGGCATGGGGTGACATAAGACTTTCTGGAGCTGCTGCTGACCGAAGGGGAGCCGTGAGGCCCCGTGGGGTGAGGTCAGAGGACTGACGCGGTAAGAAGGCACAGAACCCGGTGGATTCTCACGGCCGCCGTTTGAGGCAAGCTGGAGACCTCATCTCGCTTCTGTAGATGAGGACACGCAGCCCAGAGTGGGCAGGAGGGACTGCCTGATGTCTTGGCTCCGTGTGTCTCTGGGTCACACTGGGCAGTTGAGGGTAGGGGGAGGGGAAGGAAGGAGGGTGGGATGGAGGCTGGGTTGCCATTGTGTGAAAATCCAAGGTAGAAAGGCACGGCAGGGAGCTGGGGACGTCAACCGTGCTAGCTGTCGTGGGCACCACACGGTTGGCATCAAGTTATGCCCGGCTTCTTCACACTTTCCTTATACTTCTCTCTCTCCCTGTGTCCCCTCCCCCCTGCGGTGGGTCCTATCAGTGACAGTGTCTAGAGCTGGGACTATCATTCAGGAGTCTTTTTTTTTTTTTAGGATTTTATTATAGGAGAGAGAGAGAAGGAGCACAAGTAGTGGGGAGAGACAGAGGGAGAGGAAGAAGCAGGTTCCCCACTGAGCAGGGATCCAGACATGGGGCTCGATCTAAAGACTCTGGGACCATGACCTGAGCCGAAGGCAGACGCCTAATGACTGAGCCAGCCAGGCGCTCTGTCATCCAGGTTTTTATGTCCCAGTCTGTTACATCTTTAGAAGATACTCTAGCTTCAAAACCGTTTTTTTTTTAATTTTGATTTTTTTAAACGATTTTATTTATTTATTTGATAGAGACAGAGCAAGAGAGGCAACACAAGCAGGGGGAGTGGGAGAAGAGAAGCAGGCTTCCCCCCAAGCAGGGAGCCTGATGCAGGACTCGATCCCAGGACCCTGGAATCATGATCTGAGCTGAAGGGAGATGCTTAACAACTGAGCCTCCCAGGCGCCCCTCAAAACCACTTTTAGTCGAGAGTTTTCTTTTTCTGGATTTACAGACATAGTCAACGTAGACCCAGTCTGATTTTGAGCCCCGCACGTCTGTTCCTTGTTGGCGTGTTTACCGAAGGAGGTAGACACCACGGGCCGTCCTGAAGCATTCGGAGGCTGGGGCCTTGGGTATCAGTCCGTCCGAGAAGTCTGCTGGCCGCGCACCGGTCACAAGGAAGCGGGCGGCTCCGGGAATCTGTGGGTCACAAACGGCCGGGGACCCAGCCAGCTGGTGTCCGTTCAGCCCCGAGCAGGGGCTGCGGCAGATCTGACCACTTCCCAGCAGCAGGAAAAGCAGGGCTCGGGCAGCTTCCCGAGGGCACCATCTGTAGCTGCTTTGTGATCCGCACGTGAGAGCCCCTGCTCCGCAAACCCGCGCTCTGCGTGTCCGCGCTGGCGCGTCCGCTTCCAGCCGTTAACGGAACGGGCCGCGCTTTCCTTGCGGGTGGATCCGGAAGCGCAGCCAGCAGGCAGGGCGTGGGGCTGACCGCGCTCTCTGGTTCTCCCCAGGCTGCCCCTCTACCTCGCCTCGCTCTTCATCAGCCTCATTTTCCTGTTGGTGAATCTGACCTGCGCGGTGCTGGTGAAGACAGGCGGCTGGGAGAGGAGGGTCATCGTCTCGGTGCGCGTGGCCATCAACGACACGCTCTTCGTGCTGTGTGCCGTCTCCCTCTCCGTCTGTCTCTACAAAATCTCAAAGATGTCCTTGGCCAACATTTACTTGGAGTCAAAGGTAGGTGGACATGTGGTCAAGATCTCTTCGTTAAGCCAACGCTAAAAACCGTCTCCCGGTCGCAGACAGAACTCAGCAGACACCTCCCACACCTGACCTGCAAATGGTTGGCTGCACCCTAGCTGCCAAAACCTGGAGCAGTGTCATTCCTTGAACTTCGTACGTGAGAAGAGTTGCTTTTATGTGTGGGAGTGTGAGGAATTACCGGCAGGGAGGCGGCCTGTGCATAGACACAGGGTTTAACCAACATTTTAAAGGACTCGCTGATTGCTTGTGCTGATGAGACTAGTAGAAACACTCGCCTAGTGTCCCCTGTGTTCCAGGCACTTTGAGATCTGCATTCGGCCTGCGTAAGCTCATGGTGTCTTCCTAGATCTCTGGGAGACCAGGCCCTGGAGGTCAGTACCTGGCATTGCCCTACGCAGCCCGGAGACAGAGAGCCAGGCTTCCGACTCACGGTCTGGCCGCAGGCTCTGCAGATGTGGATGGATGGAGGCTCCCCTCAGGACTGACTGATGCCCCCAGGAGGGGACCGTGGACACTCCAGGGAGGACACTGCCCCCTGGAGTTCAGGCTGGCCCCTGCACCGAGCTCTTGGTCGGAGATGGAGGCAGCCGGCTGGAGAGGCTGGCTGGGTTTGCTATGTGCTATGCACCCTAGAATGCCTGTTCACTCTTCCTTTCCCCAGAGTTCTAGGAAAGAACTGACATGCTTCTGGGCCCCCGATCGGCCTCACCCCGAGTCTCCCTTGGTCGGGAAGCCCAGGGAAGAGTGGAGGCTGGGGAAGGGGCCTTGGTTTTTGCACTTGTGCAATGATTGAATGATTTCTGTAATTCCTCTGCTTCTAACCATGTCCTCTGGTGGACCCCCTGTCTGGCTGACCCCCCTGTCTGGGGTACTCCCGCTGTCCGGCAGACCCGCCTGTCTGGCTGACCCCCTGTCTGGCCGACCCCCTGTCTGGCCGACCCCCGTGTCTGCCGCCTTTGCCACGTGGCCCACCTGGCTATAATTAGTCTTATGTCTGAAGACCGTGGGGAGCTCTGTCCCCAACGATATTGTGCCTTCAGTAGTGACCAGTAGACTAAAATCTGACCTCAGAAACCCCAAGCCTTCACAACGCATCCGTGATCAAGCTGACCTCTGGCAAGTTCCCTCGAGACTTGAGTATGGCAGGAGTAGTTTTTTTCATGTATGAGTTTTGACAGATTTCAGACTGGATTTTGATACAAGTTTTGTCTGTTTGTACTGTCCCCCCCCCCCCCCCCGTGAGGGCTATCCAAGGCTTTAAAAAAAACAGAATCGTGGTTTTTATGGGAAGAGTTACATTTCAGTTGCCAAATAACCATTTAGATCAGCCCTGTGGCAAACACACTGTTAAACTGCTACTGGCAAAATAAAATAGTATCTTGTTGATGTATGATTTCTCAATGCAAATTTCAAAAACCCATTTCATTTTTTTTGGTCACGTTAACTATACGTTTCTAGCTTAGGGCCCTTTAATGGACTGTAAATTGATAGCTTCATAAATGGGGGTACAAATCACCAATTTCCATGTAATTCCAAGTCTGGAGTGAGACCAGGGCTTCCAGCCTAGAAGATTCTGGAATTTGAGGAAGTGCTCCCTGCCCAGGACCATGGTCCACAGGACCGCTCCCCCAGTCGCCACCCTGCTGGGGTTGGTTGTCCCGGGCCGGACCGGACGCTGGGCAGTGGGCTCCCAAGTTGGGAGATCCTGGAGATTGAACAACATAAACCACCTGACTTTCTCATTCTTACAAACCTGGGCTTTAGGCAAATGGCCCCTATTTTAAGGCTTCTCCAAACCAACTCCCAGATTTGGGTCTGTATGGAGATCCTTTGACATTTGAGGAGGGGGTGTGGGGTGAGGTGAGGTTTGGGTGTGGGTTTACCGGTGAGAGCGGACACTGTGGTTTGTGCCCCCGAGAGCTCAGGGGTTTACTAGGTCTGAAGCCAGGGCAGGTTCTAGGATGAGGCTGGTGTGTTGGACCTGGAATGGGTGCTTCCCTCATGGCTCCCTCTTTTCCAGGGCTCCTCTGTGTGTCAAGTGACGGCCATCGGAGTGACCGTCATCCTTCTCTACACCTCCCGAGCCTGCTACAACCTGTTCATCCTGTCGTTCTCCCAGAGCAAGAATGTCCATTCCTTTGATTACGACTGGTACAATGTCTCAGACCAGGTCAGTGGGCACCAGTGACGTGTTCCCCGAACAGCAACCCTTTGCTTCACAGCACTGCATGTGGCAGAGAGAGGCTCCTTGCTTTTGCTGCTGCATTGCTGGGTGACCTTGACCATCACTTACCTGTGTGGTATCTGTGTCCATGTCTGTCAGATGGGGTCATAGTACCTGGCTTGTCCCAGCTCACATCTTCTGAGACAACTAGCATCTAGGTGCACACGTGCGCTTGTACACACACACACACTAATTTCTGGGGCTCTTGACAAATGGTACTTAAAACATTTTTAAGTGCTTCCATATAAATGCAAGATGGTTTTATTAAAGGGTGAAGTTTGCCTTGGTGAAATAGATTGTATGCAGATTTCAGAAAATACATAAAACCATGGCTTTATTTTTTTAAGACTTTTTTTATTTGTCAGAGAGCGAGCGAGCACAAGCAGCAGCAGTGGCAGAGGCAGAAGCAGACTCTCCACGGAGCAGGGATCCCGATGTAGGGCTTGATCCCACGACCCTGGGAGCACGACCTGAGCCGAAAGCAGATGCTTAATGACTGACCCATCCAGGCATTCCTAAAACTATCGTTTTTTAAAAGTGCAGCATGGAGACAGCATTTGAGGAGATCGAGACAAATATGACTGGGGGTTTGAAGGTTTGAGTAAAATCTCTTTTACCAGTGGTCACCCCGTGATATTCTCGCCCTTTTAATATATGCTAGAAACTCATGAGTCGTAAGTTATAAAGCCGTGAACAAAGGTAGTGACATATCATCTGGCATTCTTGTTCACAAAAGCCAAAAATAAAAAAAGAATGGGAATGAGGTCGCATCCTCTCATTTGAGAAATACCGGTTCTTTGTCTGTCATGCAGGACAGAGCACTGGGGGTACAAACGTACACAGATGGCCTCCCTGCCCCACAGCAGGAGTTTATGTCCCCTGAGGAAAACAGACACACAGATAAGCCATTACAACACGCAGAACTTCTGCTTTATAATAGGCTCTACTGGATTGAATTACAGAAAGCTCCTTAACTGTCCCTAGAGCAACACCGAATGCTCAGCTCTAGGAAACACATGTCTCCAGTCCCAGCAGTGCTCCCTCCCTGGGCTGGATTCACACTCCAGAGGAAGACATTAAGTGACCCCGATAAGCATGGGAGGACAAGATGAAATTTGGAAGGGGCACAGGGAAGGGGCTAGAGTTCGGAAGGGTTCAGACCACCACTGCCCAGACCAATCCCACCTGTATAGGATGGGAGAGATTTGGGCAAGGCACTGCCAAAGGTGTGCCCTGTTTGGAGAAAATCAAATATATAAAAATTGAATCTTGGAACAATAAATGAGAGACTTACTCATAAGACCTGAAGGATTTCATTGTAGTGAAATGTCCATCAATGGCTACTTTCATAACAACTTTCGGGCAGACGGCAGCAGCCTGGCATTCAGCACTGTCCCCTTGCTGGGTAGCTGTCACCGCTGTCTGTCTCGAGAACGTGCTCGTCCTCCCAAACCACAACCCCATACCCATTAAACACTAGAGGTTAGGTTTTAACAAAATAATTATTTCAGTTTTTCTTTCCGGTAAGGGCTTATAATGGTAACAAACTTAAAATAATATAATTTTTAAAAATTCTATTGTTTTTAGGGGGAATGTTTATTTATGAGTATCTAGACCTGTGTGTTGCTGGCCCCAGGCTGCACATTATCCACGTAGAATGGAAGGGACTAGCGTGCTACCCAGCTGAGTTAGAGAGGGAAGCGAGATACAGAGATGGGGAGATGGTTTCCTGGATGGGCCTGATCTGCTCGGGCTACTGCCTCCAAACACGATGTAGGTAGAAGGTAGAAGGTAGGAGAAGAAGGTAGAAGGATTATTTAGGTGATCGGCTTTTCATGGCTTGGTTTTGGTGCACTTTGTCTGAAACACTGCCCTTTGTGGGAGAGCTGCCCAGATGCGACCCCGTGCACTTATCCTGGGCCCTGAAGATGGGAGACAGACTACACACCAGGCCCGTTTGGCCATCCCACTGGTCCAGACAAACATCCTGGACTGGAAACAGTCTTTTTCCAGGTGATCTCCCCTGCAACCAGCTTTAAAGGATAAAGAATAGGATATGGGGAACAGGAAGAGAAGTTTAAAAATTGATGGGTTTATCCCAGGGATGAGACAGAGGGTGATAGTTACATGCTGTCCTCAAAGATATGGGAGGGAGGGCGCTTGGGTGGCTCGCTGGTTAAGCAGCTGCCTTCAGCTCAGGTCATGATCCCAGAGTCCTAGGATCGAATCCTGAATCATGCTTTCAGCTCTGCAGAGAATCTGCTTCTCCCTCTGACCTTCTCCCCTCTTGTGTTCTCTCTCACACACACACTCTTTCTCTCTCTCGAATGAATGAAAGAGAGAAAGAAAGAAAGAAAGAAAGAAAGAAAGAAAGAGAAATCTTTGAAAAAATGTGGGAGGGAGAGACCTAACATCTCCCTATTTGATTGTTGAAGGAAAGAAGACTTACATTCAAGAGACTTAGCTTGGATATGAGGAGGTTTTGAAGGGTGACGTAATAACCGTCAGAGATGGGCAGTTCCCACGTTTGACTATTTTGAAGATAAGAATTCTCTGCCCTGTGTGGTTGGAATGACTCCCCACCTGGCTTAATACCTGATTTCCACATGCATGTTGCAGGGGGAAGGAATTGCACCGTATTAGAATTAGCCTTTCTTCACGTTAGCAAGAACCAGAGCAAAACCTCAGTGTGCTGACTGCGTGCCTCCCCTCGCTTTTCAACAGGCAGATCTGAAGAACCAGCTGGGAGACGCCGGATACGTGGTGTTCGGGGTGGTCCTCTTCGTGTGGGAGCTCTTACCCACCACCTTAGTTGTTTACTTCTTCCGAGTCAGAAACCCTGCGAAGGACCTTGTAAGTACACCATCTTCTAGTTGTGGAAACTGTTTCCTGCTTCTCATCACAACGCATGCCGTTGGGGCTTGACCTTAGATTTTCAGGAGCACGCCTCTTTCGTCCTATTGTGATATAAAAAGTTCCCTTGTCTGCCTGAGATGGTCCTCTCCCTTAACTCTGATTTATTTAGTTGTTTGTTTATTTTTATTTTTATTTTTATTTTTTTAAATTTCTTTTCAGTGTTCCAGAATTCATTGTTTATGCACCACACCCAGTGCTCCATGCAATACGTGCCCTCCACAATACCCACCATCAGGCTCACCCCACCCCTGTCCCCTCCAAAACCCTCACATTGTTTTTCAGACTCCGTAGTCTCTCATGGTTCGTCTCCCCCTCCGATTTCCCCCAACTCCCTTCTCCTCTCCATCTCCCCATATCCTCCATGTTATTCCTTATGCTCTAAAGATAAGCAAAACCATATGATAATTGACTCTCTCTGCTTGACTTATTTCACTCAGCATAATCTCTTCCAGTCCCGTCCATGTTGCTACAAAAGTTGGGTATTCATCCTTTCTGATGGAGGCATCATACTCCATAGTGTATATGGACCATGTCTTCCTTATCTATTCGTCCATTGAAGGGCATCTTGGTTCTTTCCACTGTTTGGCAACTGTGGCCATTGCTGCTATGAACTTGGGGGTACAGATGGCCCTTCTTTCACTACATCTGTATCTTTGGGGTAAATACCCAGGAGTGCAATTGCAGGGTCATAGGGAAGCTCTATTTTTAATTTCTTAAGGAATCTCCACACTGTTCTCCAAAGTGGCTGCACCAACTTGCATTCCCACCAACAGTGTAAGAGGGCTCCCCTTTCTCCACATCCTCTCCAACACACGTTGTTTACTGTCTTGTGAATTTTGGCCATTCGAACTGGTGCAAGGTGGTATCTCAATGTGGCTTTGATTTGAATCTCCCTGATGGCTAGTGATGATGAACATTTTCTCATGTGTCTCTTAGCCATTTGTATGTCTTCATTGGAGAAGTGTCTGTTCATGTCTTCTGCCCGTTTTTTGACGTGATTATCTGTTTTGTGTGTGTTGAGTTTGAGAAGTTCTTTATAGATCCTGGATATCAGCCCTTTGTCTGTAGTGTCATTTGCAAATATCTTCTCCCATTCCATGGGTTGCTTCTTTGTTTTGTTGACTGTTTCCTTTGCTGTGCAGAAGCTTTTGATCTTGATGAAGTCCCCAAAATTCATTTTCGCTTTTGTTTCCTTTGCCTTTGGAGACATATCTTAAAAGAAGTTGCTGTGGCCGATATCAAAGAGGTTACTGCCTATGTTCTCCTCTAGGATTCTGATGGATTCCTGCCTCACATTGAGGTCTTTTATCCATTTTGAGTTTATCTTTTTGTATGGTGTAAGAGAATGGTCGAGTTTCATTCTTCTATACATAGCTGTCCAATTTTCCCAACACCATTTATTGAAGAGACTGTCTTTTTTCCACTGCATATTTATCTATTTTAATTTCTTTTTTTCTTTTTTTTTCCCCTTAACTCTTTTTGAGGGAAATTCATTTTTTCAGCTTTTCTCTTTCAGAAGAAATGAAAGTTGCCTCTCAAGGCATAAAGATAGTGACTGACTGTTTTCCTAGTGCAACAAATCTCACTGGTATCTGAGCCTTGACTTGGGGTGAACCAAATATATAAGCTTTTATTTTTGGAAAGGGAAATAAAAACTGGTACTTGAGTTCTTCAGCCCTGTGTTATGCTGGACAGTGAGTTGGGAATTCGAGGACAGGGAAATAAAAACATCATGAGGGTTGCTAACCCCACTCCCCTGGTTTGGTCCCATTTCTGCTGGGCCAGCTTTGCATAATTGTCTTTCTCAGGACATGACAGAAAATGCACAGCTTGCAAGAGTGAGGAAACTCCTGGGCACTTGTGCTCCATGAATTATTCTAGCCACACTAACGAGGGGTAGTATTTTGAGTCGCTGATCTATGAAGCCCCCAGAAAAGTATAGAGAATGTCTTTTGGCCAATGCGAGCCAAATGTGGGAGGGCAACCAACCAATTGTGTTCTACCCTGTTTCTTTTTCTTTCTTTTTAAAGATTTACTTATTTGAGAGAGAGAATGCTAGAGGCAAGGAGGGGCAGAGGGAAAAAGAGAACCCCAAGCAGATGCCCCGCTGAGTGCAGTGCCCAATGTGGGGCTCGATCTTATGCCCTGAGATTATGACCTGATCCAAAACCAGGAGTTGGCTGCTTAACTGACAGAGCCACTCAAGCACCCTGACCGTGTTTTTTTCTTACTTTTCTCTTATTCATCTCTGGATAGTCACCGGTGAGCCAGAAACGGTGGGGGTGGGGGGGAGCTTGCCTGGCCTGGGGCGTGTGGGGCAGCCCAGCCTGACTGCGGCCCCTGCAGAGAATGCAGTGGGTAGCGTTTTCTAGACTGTTGCATCCGCTTCCTCCACTTCCGTTATTTGTAGCTGCAGGACCGTAGCCGTGCACTTCCTCTGACCTTCACTTGCTGTGGAAACAGCTAGAGGCATCTGTAGAGTCGGATCCTAAACACTTGAAGCTCCCTGATGCAGAAATAGGACAGGTAGGCCCCAGATTCTAGGCTGAGAGACCAGGTCCTTATTTTCCTTCCTTCTCTGAAGTTTTCTGGGCACCTTGCGGGACCAGGGGATTGTGAGGGGTCGCTGAAGCTGACTCCTGGAGCTTATGGAGGCCTCCCCCGGCCTCTGCATGTACCTTTTTATCAGCTCACGTCTCGGAGGCTTCAGAACTGGGCTCCCAAAACCCAGAGTAGACGTCCAGATTAAACAAGAGGAAGGCTAATGTGATAGTGTCCACATTCTTCTACTAAATGAATACAGAGTAATGTCTGCTGTGTACTCACAGATGTCATTATCCAGGACACCTGTCTTCCTTAACACACTCCATGTAGATGCGGTTACTTGGTTATCGGCCTTGAATAGAGTTCAGGGTGTTCTGAGTATTTTCTAGAGCTGTGGTTCTTGAACATGGTGGTCTTGGGACACTTTACGTGGATTAATTTTTTTTTTAAGATTTTATTTATTTGTCAGAGCATGAGCAGGGGGAGCGGCAGGCAGAGGGAGAGGGAGAAGCAGGCTCCCCACGGAGCAGGGAGCCCTATGTGGGGCTGGATCCCAAGACTCTGGGATCATGACCGGAGCTGAAAGCAGACGCTTCACCGACTGAGCCACACAGGCACCCTGTGATTAATTTTTTTACTGAGCGGTGATTGACGTACTAGTTTCAGTTGTACAGTGTAGTGAGTGGGTATCGTAGCTGTTACACAGTGATCCTAACAAGCCCGGTTGCCATCTCATGATACGGTTATGATGTTTCTTCTTGGGCTAACTTTCAAGGTCTGCTCTAACTGCCTTCAGATGTGCAGCACACTGTTATTACGTGTGGTCCGCGTGCTGTATGGGGTCCCCAGGACTTAGTCATTGTGTAACTGGAAACGTGTACCTTTGACCCCTTCCATGTGGTTCGCCCACTCCCCATTCCCACCTCAGGCGACCACCGTCTCCTCTCTGTACCCACGCTGGGGTTTTCTCTGCATGCTCTGAGATTCCACATATGCGAGATCATACAGTGTTTATCTTATTCTGACTTACTTCAATGTATCCATGTTGTTGCAAATGGCAGGATTTGGGTGGTGTGTGTTTGTTTGTTGGTGGTTGAGTAATATTCCAGTATAGTTCCTTATCCTTTCATCCACTGATGGACTGTCTCTTGGCTCTTGTAAATAATGCTGCGGTGAACACGAGGGTGCAGATATCCTGTCGGATTAATGTTTTCATCTCCTTCAGATAAATGCAGAAGTGGGATTGCTGGATCACAGGCTGGGTCTGTTCTTACTTTTCTGCGGACCTTCTGCTATTTCCCACGGTGGCTGCGCCCATCTACGTTCCCACCAGCAGTGAGTGTGAAAGGGTTCCTTTGCACATCCCGGCCAACACTGGTTATTTCCTGTCTTGTGATTTCAGCCATTCTGACAGGCGTGAGGTGATCGCTCACTGTGGTTTTGATTTGTATTTCCCTGATGGTGAGCGACGTTGAGCATCTTTTCATGTACCTGTTGGCCATCTGTAGGTCTTTGGGAAAAATGTCTCTTTGGGTCCTTTGCCTATTTTTTAATTGGATCATATTTTCCCATAGACTTGTAGGAGTTCTTCATATGTTTTGGGTATTGACCCTTTATCAGATACATGATTTGCAAACATCTCCTAGTCAGTCTGTTACCTTTTCATTTTGTTTATGGTTTCCTTTGCTGTGTGGAAGCTTTTTCATTTGATGTGGCTTTACGTGTTTATTTTTGCTTTTGTTGCCTTTACTTTGGGTGTCAAATCTAAATCATCATCCCCAGTACTGACGTCAGGGAGCTTACCACCTGTGTTTTCGTTTAGGGGTTTTATGGTTTCAGTTCTTACATTCAAGTGTTTAATCCATGTTGAGTTAATGTTTGTGGGTGGTATAAGAAGACAGTGGTCCAGTTTCATTCTTTTCCATGTGGCTGACCATTTTTCCCAACGCTCTTTATTGAAAGAACTGTCGTTTCTCCCATTATATAGTCATGGCTGCTTTGTTGTAAAGCACTTGACCATGTAAGTGTGGATTTCTTTCTGGGCACTCTGTTCTTCCATTGATATGTGTGTCTGTTTTTATGCCAGTATCATACTGTTTGGATAACTGTAGCTTTGTAATATCATTCGAAACAAGGGAGCATGATGCCTCCAGCTGTGTTCTTCTTTTTCAAGATTCTCAACTCTTCAAGGTTACACTGATAAATTATTGAGGACCTACTAAAGCTCTTGTTTGGAGAGGGGTGTGCGTGCATGTAAAATTAAAAAAATTAATTCTCTATAAATAATAAACCCATTATATGTTACCATAAAATTTTTTTCTGAAAAAGAACATTTTTCCAAAACAAAGTAGGAGAGTAGCATTGTTGTAAAATTCTCAGATTTTTTTCGTATC